CCCCCCCCATTTCCCTCTGGTCATGACCATGTTGCTGTCTGCGAGGTGTTTTTGGACCCAGCCCCCTCCCCCCTCTGCTCTGATAGCTGTCAGTCTGTTCTTCGTCCGAGTACCCTGCGGGAAGCACTGCTATATTTAAGTATAAGGAAAACACTACTGCTATTCAAAACTTTAACCACATACAATAATTAATAGCAGAGACCACATCTCCTGGGTCCCACCCCTTTAGGCATACTGACAGTCACAAAATTTCCTGTTTCCATTTGCTTGCTGCTTATTTTAAATTTGATAATGTCAAAGTTAAAGGTCGTGAACTAGATACACGGTTTAGAATCTTTGTAAATAAGTATAAAATGAAAGAGGTAAGGGCTTTATAACGAGTCAGTAGGCATTAACTTAAAACGTTGACTGTATTTCCTTACCTTAGTAAATGAAATGGCAAGTCATCTGGTGGTGGTGGTGACGGGCAGTCTATTCATTGTTGGGACTGTGTTCCTCCCCGGGTTCCTGTTGAAATAGAATCGCTGGTCACTATTTTTTCCTATCTCCACCTCGTCCCCCCAAAAGGATTACAGGTGGCTACTGGGATACATACAAAGCAATAGGCTAAAACTAAAGTAAAGGAAGGAACGCGTGTGAGAGGAAAACAACGGTGGGGGAGCAAGGTGAGGCCACCGCGCGGCTCTGCCCAGGCCGCAGGCCGCGCCACCCACAGGCTCCAGCTGCCCGCCAGGCTCCCAGCGAAGGAACGATCAGCTGCCCCCATGCCCCGCGTCCACGCGACAAAAGCAAACCAGCTGCCCAGGGGAGCCACAGGTAGCGGGGGATGGGGGCTGGAGCAGGGGTCTCTCCTGTGCTTCTTCCTAAAGGAGACCCCATGTGATGTGTGCACAGTTTTTCAACTGTGACTTTCGTAAGGGTCGTTTAGATGACACAACCTCCAATAAGAGTTCACCCAACATCCCTTACTGTAATAATGTTTTTGTACAGAAGAGGTAACTTACTCATGGTAACCAATTTGAAAACAGAGACGTACAAAAGAAAAATGATAAAGACCCACTTGTATCTCCCCACCCTGAGATAAGCAATGTTAACAGTTTGTTGTATACCCTTCCAAGATCTTCCCTATGCTTGTTCACACACACACACACACACACACACACACACACACACACACTTTTTTTCTGCTTATTCTTTCCAATGTTTCATATTTTTTCAAATGTTTATCTGTCTCATTTTTAAATAACTGTAATATATTCCACAAGATGGATATGCCATCGCTCAATCAGCCACTCCCCTCTGGATGACCATTCAGACCGTTTCTGGGTTTGGCGACCAAAACCGGAGCAGGAATAAACAGCCTTATTCAAACACCTTTAAAGTGCTAGTGCTTTCATTTCTGTGGGAAAGAATCCTCCAAGTTGGGCCAAACTCGGTAAGTGCATTGACTGGTTGAAGGACCATAGCTACATTCCTTTCTGTAGAAAGTGTGAAGCAATCGCCCAGTGGTGCGTGGAGAGTACCCGCCTGTTGACATATTACCAGCACGGGGTGTTTGCCACCTTTCCATGTTTGCCAACCTGATGGGCAGATCAGGGCATGCCAGTCATTTTAATTCTTGTTCCCTTGCTGCTAATGGGGCTGATCCTTTTCACAGGTTTACTGGTGATTTATATTTCTAGTTCATGCCCTTTGCCTATTTTAGACTATGCTATTTATCTTTTTTCCTTTTACAATCAACTTGCAAAATATCCCAGGATATGAAACACCAACTCTGCCACATGAATTGTAAGCTACTGTTAATCTTTCAGCTTTATGTGGTCTTGTCATGTAGGTATTTTCAATATCTGCATAGTCAAATATGCTAATTTTTCCTTTATGGACTGGATTTATGATCTTACTTGGGCGGGTTCCCCCCCACCTGATGTTATACATGTATTCTCCTATATTTTCCATTTTGAACATAAGATCTTAACTCCAAGTGGAACCTGACCTCATGATCTCCCAGATAGACAACTAATTGCCCCAACATCATTTTCCTTACTAGAAAGGCATGCCACCTATAGCATATATCACCTTTTCCTATGTATCTCAATCTATTTCTGGACTCTTTACTATGTCCCAAAGATTTGCTTATTGATTCCTGAGCTAATATCATATTGTCTTAAATGCAGTAATATGACAATATACTTTGATATCTATTGGTACAGGTTCCCCATACAATTTTTCTTCCAAGATTAGCAATTTTCTCACATTTATATTTTTAGATGGACTTCAAAATCATAATTGATTGATCTGACAATTGTCCCCCTTCCAAGTTGGGCTTCTGACAGGAGTTATATTAAATTTAGACAACTAATTTGGAAGGATTGTTCTTTTTGGAATTTTGAGTTTTCTCATTCAAAATGGGTATAGTTCTGAATTTCTAGAAATATGATATCTTTTACTACCATCTTACTTTTGGGATTTGTCTTATGTCTTACTAAAATCATTCCCAAATATTTCAGTTTGTCATTCTTTTAAATAGGGATTTTTCTGTTTTCATTTTAAACCAGTTATTAACTCACAGAAAGAAAAACAATTGGGTTTCATCTATTACTGTTCACCCAGTCATTTTGCCAAGTCCACTTATAGGATTTTTAAAGATTTTAAGTAGAATCTCAATCACATCACTACAGTATTTATATAGCTTGTTTCTATGTCTCTTTTTAATGTAGTCACTGGCTCTCTAAAACCATGTTGAGTAGCAGAAATTGAGAAACAGTAGTAGTGCCAGGCATTTATAACATAATCCTGCAGTAGCTGCCATCCAACATGATGCTTTTGTTTGTTTGAGAGCATAGTAAGTTTTTTCTGCTACATCCTAATTTAATTTAATTTTATTAGGAATGGCTACTACATTATATCAAATGTGTTTTTTGCATCAGTTGATATAATAACCATACATTGTTCTTTATTCTGTTGTATCAACATGTAACATTGAGAGATTTCCTTGTATCTCTAGAACAAGCACTAACTTGGATTTAATTTGCTACCATTTTTAAAAGGGTATTTTCATGATTGAAATGAAGTGATTGTTATCACATCTTTTTCAGGCTTTGGTATTAGGAATTAATACTTTTCATAAAGTTGGAAGGTTTTCTCTTTTTATATGCACTCAGATTTTTTTTATGATTAATTTCTTGGAATTTAAAACCTCTTAGTCAACATGGTGCTGCTGTTTCAAGAAATCTTAATCAATAATTTAGAGTCCACAGTCCCGTTATGGTCATTTATTCAGCCTTGGCCGTAAGTTTTATAAGGTCCTTTGCTCATTGTTGTTGCTTTGGCTCCTCACCTTCCCGTATCCCGACACCCTGTTCGGATTCAATTTTCATTTGGTTGGAACACTTCTCAGAAGTGACACATGGATGGTCCACTCTGAGACACTCCATGTCCATGTCCAGTGTTACTCCAACGTCTTTCTTTCCTCCTCATATATGACTGCATCTCTTGACCAGTACTGGATTCTTGGCTCACAGCCCTTCCATCTCTATTAATATGGTATTGCTGTCGTCTTCTTTCTTGGCTTACAGATAAGTAATTTCAAGCTAGTCTGATGCTCCTGTCTTGGTAACTTACTGGTTTTCTCTGCCTAGAAACCCATGAAAGTTTTCCCTTTTAACAGTTAAAAAATCCTATAGGGATAAATGTATTTTTATTAATCCTGCTCTTTAAAGGGAAGCTGAAAAGAAGTTATTACATAGAGATCTGATGAGTTGACTTAAACCATGAATAATATTTAGGCTATCTAGATGAAGAATGAACAGAATGCACAGCTCTCAGGCAGTATTTCATGAATATTGTTTCTCATAACCAACTGTTGATAAGAATTGGATGGTGAAGCACTGAAAGTTATAGTCTCTGGCAACAGCCCGGAATGTAGAAATTCTAGTGGCCAAGTAAGGGAATAATCATAAGACTCAGGTCTCCTTGGGAAATGTATTCATATGTAATCTAACACGAGACTCCCAGTGTGAACTTATTTTCTTAAATTATTTCTGACATTAAATAGAGCCAACTTATGGTGTCATATGGTTAGACTGTTAAGACACCAGCTCCGCTAACATTAATATATGCCAGGAAAGGATATATTATTTTTACTATTTTATTGCTTATCTATTCTTCCTGGTATCTAGTATCTGGATTCTGTTAGCTTCAGAAAGAAATAGCTTACCGTATTTCAATGCTTTCTACATTTCTACGTTTTCCTCAATTTGAGGGAAGGGGAGATACTATCATTTATTTAGTCACAACTATGTGTGAGATGCTGTCAAATATATGATCTCATTTAACTCTGCAAATGATCCCTTGACTTTCTCCAATTTAGCTTGTGCTGTTCTGACACTTATAATGGACTGTCCTGTAACATCCATGGGATGTAGTCATTTTAAATTTTGCCAAGGCTCTTGCTGTGAGTTTGTAGAAGTAAAGCCCTTAGTGGGTGAATGAACATAGGGGACGCCCCCCAGCACGCAGCCTGGGTTTGCTGTTCTCTATACCAATGCTGGGCATTAGAACCACCTGGGGAGCTTTTTGAAAATTCAGATTGTTGGGCCATGCACCAAAAACAACTAAATCACTACCGCTGCATGGTGAGTCTGGGGAATCAGTGTTTTCAGCATGCTTCATAGGCGTGGGATCATCGAAGCTACTCTGACTAGTAAAGGCAATAAAAGATGTTTTTTCACTTCAAAAGAGTTGTCAGGGTCCAGTAGGGAAAACAGAAACCATTCTGGGTGTGTTAAAGAGAGGAAATTTAATACATAGTATTAGTTATAAAAGTGATGGGTGAGCTGAAAAGTTAAGCAAGAGATGGTGATGACATGCAGAGATTAACATCAGCAGGAAGCCACTGTTGCTTTTAGAGTTAGAGGCACACCAAGAGGAGGGGCTGGTAACAGATCTCAAAAGCTGGAGGTAGCTGATACAGTAATATTGAACGTCAACTGAAGCTGAAGGTATCCACTGGGTCCGGACCATCTTGGTGAGGGCTGACTGGCAGCAGTTGGGACTACGGAAGGAAGGGCATGTTTGGAGGCATGGAGGAAACAGTCATTGTTGGAGACACCACCCAAGACAGAGTGAGTGGGGACAACACCTGGATTCTCCCTCACACCCTCTAACCGCCAATACCCGTCTACGGCTTCCATCGGACACGGGGAGCCTGAGAAATGCATCCTACAGGGGATGGCTGCCCTGGGATACAGAACAGGGGAAGAGTGAGGAATGGCTCTGAGGACAAACAGGCCAACAATGGGCCACAGAATGAGATATAAAACTGTCAGGAAAGTGGAAAAGCAGATATGAGCTAATGATATAAGCAAGAAACATGAGTCTCAAAGGAAATATGGACTGGGAGGTAGGTTAGGAGCTATTTTTGTGACTGGGGATTTTCAAAGGACTCAAACAGACCATTCCAAAGTGGCTAGGGTCTACTGAAGCCTCTTCGTTAAGTGCAGGAGTGA